CTGATGGACACATTTCTTGTGTCTGTGTACAGTTGTTTTATTCAAAGACGATGTTTGAGCAATACGAACTGAAAAATAAAGTCAGACTTTGTGCTACAGGCTACGAGCAGTTTTCTTCCAAAGAAGCATCACTGACACATTTCATAACACCTGGCGGAGCGGAGCATCTGGGCAGCCAATCAGTGAAGAGCGCTGCATACCTGAGTGGAGTCACATCTCGCACAGTAATCAGCACACCATGCAACTGTGGCGTAGAAAAAAATCAAGAGAGAAAGTCAAATGACACCTCACAGTAATCACCTGACACACAAACTACACCTCACCGACCTGTGGAGATGATGGAGACAGTCACATGTCAGATAATCACATGTATGATGACACAAAATGCTGCACTGTAAAAAAAAAAGAAAAGAAAAAAGAATCACCTCCTCGTGGTCGTATCCCTCCGCCACTCAGACTAGTTCCAGGTTACATCCCTGTTTTTCCAGAATCATATAAAATAAGAACCATTGGTGTGAAATTTTGTCATAATTGCTGCGTGAAGTCTTGAGTTATGTCTAAAAAGTGATTTGTGAGGTCACACTGACCTTGACCTTTGAATGCAGAAATTAACCATAGCAAGGCAAGTTTATTAGTATAACACGGAGGGCATTCAATGTGCTCAGCAGAAATAAAAGAAGGATCTTAAGAGAAAGACAAGAAGCATAAAACAGGATAAAAATAGATTATAAAATAGATGATATCTCATTAAAGTGCAAGATCAGTCAGTTCGTCCTTGAGTCCCAGTGGACGTTTGTGCCAAATGTGAAGAGATTCCCTTTAAGAGTTTTTGTGATTTGTGAAGTCACCGTAAGCTTGACCTTTGACCTTCAGCCACCAAAATTTAATCGGTTCTTCCTTGAGTTCAAATAAAGGTCTGTGCCATATTTGAAGACGTTCCACGTGGCATCACGGAGATATCGTGTCCACGAGAAAGAGACAGACGCACAAAGAGATTCCCTATATGGACGAACGGACGAAAAGAAAAATAAAACACTTGAAACTGATGCTGCTGATAGGTGTCTCAGGGTTTCAGGTGACAAATCAGCTTCTGTCACATGACAACTATCGGCACACCATGAAAATCCGATACCGTCCCTCCCTCACAACCCCAGCTTCTGTGTGTAGATGTGAATCAAACATGAACACCTTGGTGTTTTATAGAATATGAAAAGAATAAAATGTGAAAGGAAGAAAACGAGCATATTTACAGAGATTCAAAGGGTCAAAGGTCAAATCCAGGTGAATTTAGACTAATCTTAACATGTGTGAGGCATTCAGAGACAACAAAGGTGCCCGCATTTACCTGCATGAATAGCAGGAGGTGGAGGTGGAGGTGGGGGGGGGGGGGGGGGGGGGGGGGGGGGGGGGGTGTACAGTTAACCCTGGGTCAGAGAGGGGAGCCTCTCCGAGCTGTCAGGAACATATAGTGTTTCAAACAGGGAGGGGGGCAGATGTGTCAGTCAGTGTGGGGCAGCTGTAGGAATGTTAGAAATGTTTGAGGGGTGAGCGTGTCTTTACGGGGGGGGGGGGGGGGGGCACCTTTCAGAGCGGTAGAAGTGTTGTCAGAAAGTACATACTTCTACCCATGAGGCCGCCCTCATGACCCCGACACTTGTCACTCCTTTCTTCAGCAGTCACGCATGGCTGCACCGCGGCGTCAGGGCTGCAGACAGGCCCGACCTGCTCTCCTATCAGCTCCGTCCATCGGCTCAGGAGCGGTGTTCAGTCATTCAGCGCTGCCGTTTATGACTGATGGCTGAGTTATGGCAGCGTAAATCTGTTGAAAAATATTGTTTCAACACGGCGTCTGTGTCTTTTCTTTTCTCGGCAAAAAAATTGTATGAAAAGAATCAAAACGACGGTTTCCAGCCCTGCTCACGGTCTCCAGAGCATCAACCCTCTCAACAACCAACTCGCAATCACATGGAGAACACACACATCAATCAACATGGAAATGAAGTGAGAGAGAGAGAGAGAGAGAGAGAGAGAGAGAGAGGGAGAGAGAGAGCACGGCAAGGCCAACGCTGTGTTTACCTGCAGGCTGGAATAAGTCACTGTGAGACTTCAGCAGCTGCAGGAAACAAGAGGGAGAGAAGAAATCAGTCAAACAGGGAGACAAGAACAAGTCCAGAGAGGACTGAGCCTCCTTTCTTTAAAAAGGAAAAACATAGTTTGTACTTGAACTGAACTTAACTTACAAAAGAATACAGTCAACTTTTTGTGTTATAGAAATTTTAAAGCTTCTCTTTGAAGAAAATGATGCAACTTTAAGTTATATTGTTTATTTCATGTTTTTTATTAGAAGTATCAAAAAAATGCTTTTGCTTTTTGACATTTGAACAAAATTACAGTTGTTCAAAATATATCGCTGACCTCTGACCTACCCTGTAAAGACTGTCGTCAGGATCATGTGTGGAGCTCCGATGTTCACAAGCTTTTTCTTTTTGAAGACAGCAGAGGGCAATGTTTGTGCTGCTCACCCACCGAAACTGCTTCTGCTGATGAGAGGTTAAAAGAACGATGCAAACAGGGAGGGAGGAAAAATTTAAAAAAAAAAAAAAAGGAGGAGTTAGGGAGTGTTAAAAAAAAAAAATGTCACAGCTGTTGTTGAGACCTGAAAGTGTAAAAAAAGACTAGAGTGAATAATTAGTCGGAAAATGATACAGAGGAAACAGAATAGAGACATCTAACGATGCAGATACTACTGGACTGTTTTAATGGAGTGTCATTCCTATATGTATACATATGATGTTTTACATATATTTAAAAATTACACATGGAATCAAGCATGCCTTTAAATATATATCCATCCCAAAGCCTGTCAATATATGTTGTTATTATAACCTTGTAAATATAAAAGACAGATATGTATATTTAAAATTAATAAGAAAAGAAAAACAAATATCAACACATATAATTTTATATATACTGTATACTGTATGTTGTTTTAATAAACTTGCACCTATAAATTTAATATATATCATTATACCATATAAAATTCATCTTATAGATATTTTTTTATAAATATACATATACAACTTTTACTTTGGGTATTTCATATATGTTATAATCTTCATATATCCAGAGGATGTATATGTGATAACGATATATCCACTTACAGGTGACATATATCACAACATCACTGTAGATATAAGGGGCATAAATGTCATATATTCGATTTCTATTTGGGAATTGGGTTTAGATTTGGATAATTCTTGTGTACAAGTGAATATTTTGGCCTGATGGAAGGAGACAGGAAGTCAGGGGGAGGTCAGATAGATAGATAGATAGATAGATAGATAGATAGATAGATAGATAGATAGATAGATAGATAGATGGATAGATAGATGCAGAGACAGTTGGCCGTTGTCACCTAGAGGTGTTTGGGTGAATACTAATTGGAGGGCAAGAAAGAGTCCCATTGATGACGGAGCACAATGGAGAGGCAACACAAGCAAAAACAGAAGAATCCTATTATTTCATCTTTTTTCCGCATTGGACCGTGTTTGTGTGACCGCCGCCTGCTGTCACTGCGTGGAGACCGCGGCTCTCACAATGCAGCCCTTGTGCCTGGGGGCCACGGCGGCAGAGGAAACTAGAGCCGACACAGCTTCCTCTCCCACTGCCCCCAGAGCCATGCGGGCAATAACAAAGATGGCTGAATGCACGCTATAGTCCTCTTTGGCAGCAGCCTTCTGGGAAAGGTTAGAATACACAGGCAGGCTTGTTGTCCAGGTTCAGTGATGGCCCATCACTGTATGCACTGGATGCATCAATATGCTGTTTGACAGCAGAAGCCAATGCAGTGGACGGCATGGAAATGAGACTTTTTTATTGGTTAGCTATTAAACATCAACGCCACAAATATTTAGCACTCGAGAATTATTTTAATGAACAATTTCTCTTGTTAGAGGCATTTAAAAATGAATATCTGTTGCAAATAGTTGCAGTGGAAAATGAACTTCCTGACCTTAGAAAACAAGCTGATTTGTATGGAGCAAAATGCGGTGAACTTTTTGGACTAGGGTAGACAAAAGTTGAACTTTTTGATTTGCTCTGAACTGTTCTCTATTTGGTTTTGGTGTAGTTTGGCTCTGTGTGTGGGGTACAATTGGGATTCAATGGGGCTGGGTCTTTAAAAATACCATGTAGAACTCCACCTGTAACATCACTGACAAGCTTACAGGAGCTATTTGTAAGTTTTGCTATCGCTACATAGCCATTGTTAGCATTAACAATTGCAGTGACTCAGTATCGGAAAGGGATGAGACGGGTCAACTGGGTCTGCACGAGCTAGCTGGTTAGCGTGTTAATTTCGGTAGAAGAAAAGAAGTGATAGAAATAGAAGCAGAACAAGAGGCTTTCTCTCCAGCTCTTGGCGAGTAAAGGAATGACGTCAGGGCGTTTCTTCTAGTAAACAGCTGTTAATGCTAACATCGGCTATGTAGCAATAGCAAAACTTACAAATAGCTCCTGTGAATCAATTTACTGCAAATACACCCTTTTAACTGGAACTGGAACATTTAAAAACTTCCAAAATCAATAAAATCAATTAAAAAAAAAAAGCTCCAGTATTCATGTATTCACACAAATTAACATACAATCTCTCAGGCTATTTTTTTTATTTGTGTCACTTTTGTGTTTCTATTTTTAATATAAAGACAGTTATCAGTCCATTATCGTTAAATTAGCAGTTAACTGTTTCAATAACTGTGATTTTTTTTCAGTCCGTCTCACTTTTGATAACAAAAAAAAAAAAAGACGAAACAAATGAGAGGAAAACGGAATCAAAGAGAGCGTTTGAGACCTTCATATGGTCATTAACATCTGGAGCAGAGAGGACAACAAGCCTGTTTACACACTGTCGATCACAGACTGGACCATATGACCAGAGTGAGGAGAGCGAGGGTGAGAGAATGAACTGACAGCTGAACATTCAGGGCTTGGTCAGAGGAACAAACAGGGACGAACAGAAGCCTCTACTCACCACAGTTATGAATCATCCAGGAATTTTCTGATTGGACATTTGGAAAAACATCGTCGTCATGTGGGACCACACGGGAGGATGACTGGACATCTGCATCTTCTCAACTTCACAGGTATTTTCTCCCTTTACCTTTGCCAAGATGCCGGATGAAGAGTAAAACAGACTTTGTAAACAACATGACTCCCTGTAGTCGGGGAGATGCTGATGAAAATCATCAGGTAGCATGTGAGAGCAAAGACAAAGTTAGTGTTGTGTTTTCTTTTGAAATGTAGGATCTGGACGAGCGACTGTCTTCAGGATGAACTGTGCTGTGATTCTTCTGTTAACATCAAGCTGCTTCACCTGGTCTTCAGCTGTATACGCCACCAACAGAGCAGGTAGAGTCCCAACAATCTGCATCATCTGCAAGGTGGATTTTATAAACTAAATGTCCTTTTTTGAAGGGTTAAATATTTCAACACTGCCCACACTCTCACATTTCAGCACTCACCTGTTGGTATTTTCATGCCAATGAGTCACATGACCTGCACTAGTGTCAGATTTGACTTACATCATCATTAACTGCAGACTTGTCAAATTTCGTCACAGTTGGTCTTCACTCTCAAAGCTCGACAGCAGCAGGAACACGTTCAGGGCCGTTCTTCAAACTTGTTTTAATAAATCAGGTTTCAGAGTTTCGGTCTGTGTGGATCACTGGGGGCAGCGACTCAGAAACACACCGGAAGTCAGTCACCATCCAATACTAGTAATACTAGGTGGACTTTACCTGTAATAGTAATAACAGGTAACTACTAAACAACCAAAAGCAAAATCACTGAATAATTACTGCTCCAAAAAAGTATCAAAAATTGGGTTTGATACCAGTTTGACACAGGTGATGTTCAGCATGGAGCGCTGCAGGAATGATCCTAAAACCCAGAAATTAGTTTTAGCACTTCCTGTTCCCTCGTCCTCAAGTCTTTGGGTGTTTTTGATTGTTTTTGTTTAGATGATTTAAATAAGGTCTGTAGTTAAGACAAGCTCAAGACATCTTCACGTTTTATTCTACGACACAAAATACGTCAGTAAATACACCAGTCATGATTTCTTTAAGCTCTTAAGTCTTGGTTGCTAAGGAGTGAGACTACAGAGGTTGTCGGGGACATTAAATTTCATCATGTTGAACGTGAAAACCAATCTACTACCCAGTCCACCTTTACAACCTCTTTGTGTTTATACAAACTGTCACTAACTCTGTCAGAGGAAACGCGTTTGTTTAAGAGGTCAGAGCTGAATCAAACTACAAGCTGAAGTCATGTGACTGTTGTGTCGTTGGTTTATAGCTGAACATTCGCTCTTTCCTTTGCTGATTGTATTTAGGGTTGAAGAATCACAAAGTGATGTTTGTTAGTGAAAATGATCCTGCTGAACTAAACCTGTCAGGATCAGAAACTGTTGTTTGTCAGAGTTTATTTTCTGTAATAATCAAAAAGACAATGTAAAAGTCCTATTGGCTTTTTGTGGAGGGAACCGGGGTGATGCTAACATCCAGGTTGGCTGCAAAGATACATCTATTGGTCAAAGGCAAAACACCTAAAGTGACATCAGTGATTGGGGTGTGGCCAGAAGTGCAACATGCTTGTGGGTTTTAAAGTTTTGTTGTGATTTGGGGGTAAGTTTTAATATTTCCTTTAATTCATCCTTGAGTAAAATTATTTTGGTTTTGTGTTTATTATTTTTTGTACATCAGATTTACCTCTAAATTCACACCGACAGTATATGTGTATGTTCTTTTGTATTTTCTTTTAAATGAACTCTTTAACGATGACCAAACGCTGACACCTGCTGGATGCTGTTTTGTCCCCAGCACCCAAGAAGCTGAAGTACCTGATTGACCCGCCTGTGTACGCCGAGGTCATCGGCCGAAGGGGAGGTAATGTCACCTTGCCGTGCATGCTGAAAACCAAACCCAACCACTACAAAGTGAAATGGACAAAGCTGGAGCCGGAACGTGTAGGGCCAGAGAACATCATCATGATATCAAACGCACACGCCTTCAAGCCGTACGGCCAGGTTGGACCGCGGGCCTCTCTTCGAAATGCTCACACCATGGACGCCTCCTTGCTGCTCAGACGCCTGCAGCTGGAAGACGGCGGCACGTATCGCTGTGAGCTCATCAATGGCATCGAGGACGAGAATGTCGTCATGGAGTTGAGGATTGAAGGTAAATCTGCAAATTGTTAACAGGAAATGGTGTAAAATGTGTGTTTGAAATGTTCCCACAGCTACACAGGGGTAAGGGTTTTTATCAGGGTTGAGGGTTTGTTTTTTGGGAGTCAAGTCTTTGAAGTGTAAAAACATAAACATTAACAAGATGGCTTCTATTTCTAGGTGTGGTGTTCCCATATCAGAGTAAAAACGGACGCTACCAATTCACTTTCCAAGAAGCCAAGGAGGCTTGTACTGATCAAGATGGCACACTAGCCACATACGACCAGCTCTACAGAGGTACCACACTGTGTTATGTGTTTATAACCGACCACTGACATGTTCAGCTCGGCTCTTTTAAACCAGCAACATCTCCCCCCCACAGCCTGGACGGAGGGTCTGGACTGGTGTAACGCCGGGTGGCTCCGCGATGGAACCGTTCATTACCCCATCATCCGTCCCCGACCCGTCTGCGGAGGAGAGCTGCTCCCCGGGATTCGCACTTATGGACCAAAGGATAAGAATCGCGACCGGTTCGATGCTTTCTGCTTCACCTCCCAGACGTCTGGTAAGCTTTGGGTTTGTTTGGCTTGGATCTGATTCTTATTCTAGTTCTGTCACAGAAACAGAAACCTGAGACCAAAGTGGCCTGTTGGAAACACAAAGGAAACAGCAGTTAAAGTCACATCCTTTCTCCATCCACCCTGACCTTTGCAGCGCCTCAATAACATTTGCTCCGTAGAGACAGCAGTCATGTGGCCGCTGGGGGGTTTTTAAGTCTTAAGCCACATGAGCAACGTCCTGTTTCATTTTTGAGATTAATTACCTGCAAGAGACCTCTCTCATTGGGGACACTTTGTCCTAAAGCAGGAAAAACACACCCAGGAACATTAATAAATGCACAAAAGCAGGAACCTGGAACTACCTGAGTGGAGGCCAGCCGTCAGTCGAGTGTAACCACTCGACATATGTGGGCCACCTTTACAACTAACCGGTGCTGCCTGTGGATAAAGTGTTAAAGGCAACATGGCCAACCCTTTTGTTATGCTTCTATTTCTATATCACTTGTACTTAAGTTAGCATGCTAATCAGCTAGCTCCAGCCTGGTGGGCCCGTCTCGTCACTTTCCGATACCGAGTCACTGTAGCGCCCCAGTCTGCCCTGAAGAAGTAGCTGCTCTGAGGACGTAGTATAACCTCTTGTCTTGTAAACACAATGATGGCTGAAGCTCCGTCCTGCTGCCACAAGTACTCACTCGAGCACTAAATGTGGATTAATCCGCAGCTGAAAATAGTCCCCAACAAATGCACTATTCCCTCCTGTTGTAGTAATGTTAGCTTAAAACAAATGTTTTTTTTTTGATTGGTTTTCACAAAAGATTACTGAACTTTCTAAATTATAATAATCGCATCTGCTAGAATCTATGCTGTGAGTCATTTCATTGATTGATTGGGTTTTAGCAATTTTCAAAAACAGTTTCACATCAGACGTATTTTAAAGCCGACCTCATAATTTCTGGACCAGATTCCAGGAAAGTTTATTTTGTTGTTAATGCCACTGGAGCATCACTGTTCAGTGTTGTGTGAAGGGGAAGGGCGTTGTTAACTTTATTTCACAATCATTTATTGTTTCAACAGCGAGTGATTTCGAATGTCAGCTGTGCGGAGCAACAGGCTGACCTTTAGTGGCAGATGTGCGACAGTGGGACTCATAGTAGGTTGACAGAGGACAATAAAGTCTGTTGGTGAGACATGATGAAAACAAATTCATCAGTGGGAAAATACTTGGCTGTCTCCATCCCTGGAAACTTCCTCTGCAGTGAGAAAAATGTGACCGATGAGATAGAAAACGCAAAAACAAAAGGACTTAAAACTGGTTTAACATTCGACAGTGTTGAAATGACACCGTGCCTGGATGTGTTTATATTTCTCACAGGCTCCGTCTTCTACATATCGGGCTCCTTCTCCTTCGAACAGGCGGAACACGCATGTAAACGTCAGTTCGCTGAGTTGGCGTTGGTCGGCCAGCTTTACGCCGCCTGGCATTTCCAGAACTATGACCAGTGCGACGGCGGGTGGCTGAGAGACGGCAGCGTACGCTTCCCCATCAGCAACCCCAGGCGGCGCTGTGGAGGCCTCCCTGAAGCGGGGGTGCGCTCGTTTGGATTCCCCAGCAAGATGACACATCTTTACGGAGCCTATTGCTATAGGTAGCCTCGAGTAAAAGCCTTGAGGCGTCTCACAAACCAGAACACATATTATTTACAGCAATGATCCACCAATGGGACAAGAAACCTCACATCTGAAGCAACAGACAATTACTTACAACAGAATTATATGGTTATATTTGACTTTTTATATTTCCAACATTAAATTAGTCATATAATTTAGTCAGGATATGAGTGCTTATAAGAGTATATTCATTGAAAACAGGGATTTTTGAGTCCAAAACAAAAAAAGGCCCCATTTGTGTAATTTGGTGGATTTGGAAAATGTTAAATCCAGGAAATAATTTAGTGGCAGACAGATTCTTATACAGTAGCTCTAAAATCTTTATTTTTATTTGATTATATTTTATTTTTAACCCAAATGACTGGTTTGGATGACCATGGACTTTTGAAAGATTCAGAAGCTTTTTTGATCATGATTTTTTTTTTCTTTTATTTGACATAAAGACAGTACAAATCTATATTAAACCTGTATGTAAAGTGAAATTTAGTTTTTCCAGGATGGTAAATTTTGTCTGTGACATGGGAAACACAATTTCCAAAAGTAATAATCACTTAAGAGATAACTGTTGGTTGGTAAAACAGTGTAACAGGCCGACTGTTTACTGTGGTTTATATTGGATAACGCCAGCCTCTGTGACTAATAGAATAATTAGAAGGAAGTAAATGGTGCAAAACATACACACAATCATCTTGCACTAAACTTGTATTAACTTGACAGCTCTGTAAACCTGTTGTCTGTTTAACTCGACACTGATCTGCTTCCCGTGAGCTCATTCAGAGCAGCTAAAAAGGGTGAACTGGTTTATCTGTAAATTAATTGCATGTGATTTAATTTATTCAATAAAGATTGTGTCCACGTATCAATGTATTGATTTGCCAATGGAAAGTTTGTGCATTGTTTTAAACTTTACCAAGTCAGAGTGGTCAGGATGTGGAACTGAACTGATGTGGATCCAGATGTGTGGGATTTTACGTACAAGATAAAAGGTGCAGGTGTTTTGATTCGTAGCAAAAATCTGTTTTACCATTCAGTGGACGGACACTTCTCAGTAAGGCACCACACACTGTGCACTGCTGCGTTAGGTCAGTCAATTCTTTTTAAAAAGGTCATAATTTATGCAAACTCCATTAGTTCTGCTTGAATTTCCCCTAAAATGACAAAAAAAAGAATTAATATAGTAATAAGTGATAACACATTGTATTGTTATTTAAGAGTCATATGATCGTGCTATATATTAAATAGATTCTTACAACCATACTATTTTTAATGTGTTAATTTATATACAGTTAAATCAATAAACAACATGTAACAAGAGCAAAAATTCAGACTACATTACAAAATTACATTTTATTTCTCTTTTTTTTTCATTGGATCCATTTTTCACTATATTATTTCTACTTGTACATTTATATAGTATGCGTTCATTACATCAACGATTAACATTACCTGCTACTGTCATACAAAGATACAGCACATGGTTGCATTAGTTGCATCATCAAAACATATGTTTTCTTCTTCACTGATCCCAGAAGTAGAGCTGCGGCTCTGAGGCCAGTGAAGAATTTAAACTTCACCTCTCCGATTAGGACACTGTATGCGGACAGAGCTCTGGCCAAATACAGATACAGCACAGTTCGTATTAGCAAACCACGGTACAGAGTCTGAGAGACACCTGAATAAAAAGCACCAGAGGACGAGCAGAGTCAGTGATCCGCGATGGCGTGTGCTCAGAGACAGTCAGCTGGTTCGGCTCCGTCCAGGAGCCGGTTTCACAAAGACAGATGTAGATATGACAAATATTCAGACTTCAGATAGAAGTCTGAAGCTTCAGCTGTTGCACGAAGCGGTTTAGTTCTTGACCACCTTAAATCGGACTGTGGTCCAATGAATTCTGGGTAAAAATTAAGAAATGACCGATAGAAGAACTGAATCTGACCGCTGACCTCCGTTAACCTCAGCAGGAAAATGGATTTGTCTTTTGGAAGAATTCAACAGTTACAAGGAAATTTGAACTCCTTCTCATTGCTCAAATTATGAGCCATGTTTTCCTGATTTTTTTTGCAGGTGTCATTGATTGTTACCATGGTAACATTGGTCTGAGACCTGAGTTAGCGTGGGAGTAAGATGTCTAATGTTTTCTGACTTAAAATGAGTCTTTATTTTTATGGAACGGTCTGACTAACATTAAACTGATCTATGAGAAAAGTCTGAGATATCTTTGTGAAACCGGCCCCCAGGTGAATCTTAATCAAAAGCGGTGCAGGTGAGGAAGTGTCCCCATTTCCTCTTCAAGGACGGGACAATAACTGAAACTGCAGCACATCTGTGTCTTGAGGGAACGTTTAATTTATCACAGTATCTGCAAGACAAAAGCATCAGGTTCAGTCTGCGTTAATTTCAGGTGTGAACTCTCCTCCGCACGCAGGTGACGAATTAAAGAGAAGCGTCAATCGGGCTTCCTGTGTCTAAAAACTATTTTGTGCTGGAAGTAAATGTATAAAAACAAAATGTGTGTTTTTCTAGCACACACAACAAATGCACACGTGTTTTTTCGAGAGTGCAGACTGTGGGAGGTGAAGGTTGACTGACAGCTGTCGTTCTTCAGCACTAAAGAAGTAAAAAGAAGGGATCCTCCAGACTGTGAGTACGACCGGCTTCGCACGTTACTACACGCAGGACGCTTCGACAGCTCACTGCGAACCGCCACCAGCAGCAGGTCTGTTACAAAAAAATGTTAAAATACAGCGTTTATGGGCAGCAGCAGTCAAATTCAAGAATTCGACATTGTCACCGATTTTTAATTTCTACAATCTTAATTTTTTAAAAAACAAACAAACAAACAAAAAAATAAAAACAGTTATGTTTGGTTACAAAATGGCTGTAGATTAAGTAAAGAACACTCTAGGTTACGTATTTGAGTATGATGTGAACTTGAAAAGAATAGAATTTGTTTTTAAATATTTCTGGATCCCTTGACCCCCCCACCCCACCCCCCTGCCCCGTGTACTGGTAAATTTGGTTTATTCAGGGTAATACAGACGATTAAAACTTACATTTACATGATTAACTCATACTTTAAGCATGATCAGAAATGTCGCAGAGACATTTCTGATCATGGGGGGGGGGGGGGGGGGTTAATGTGCATTTACCTAATCGGGCGCAGGTCTTTTATATGATAAGAAAGTATCTGTTTAAATCCACTGTTTAGTGTTTAGCGTGCATCGTATCTTGAAAGTTTCACGATAAAGTTATTGTGGATGACATTTCTCCAGTATTGAAAAATACATATTTGGATTGCAGCACTTTTCCAGATTCTCCAGGGTGATTGTAGCAACTGTGGCCTTGAGATTTCTCAGATTAGTTTCATACGATTTAATTCGATGCAGAAAACGGGGGCTGGAAAGTCTTTGAGACACAAGACAAGTGGGAAAACAGGAAGAGGAATAGTGTTTAAAAAAGAAAAAAGGATGGCAGGATGGCTTCACACATTCCATTTAATGTCCCAGAACAGCGGCGTCGCTTTCTCTGTGGCTGTACCCATGACCTCCATGACCTCCATGACCTCCACGACCTCCTCGTGCTGGTGAGGAAGTAAGGTCACCGGGTCTTCTTCCAGTGAATGAGCTAGAGGAGGGAGAGACGGCAGCGTTTCACGTTCACGGCCTTTACAGTCAAAGTGTATTATTATAGTATTATTTTTTGGTGCTACTTTCACCCAGGGGTGGATGTCCAATGTGGCTATTTACACCCAGGTTTTAGGGTCTGTTGGACCACTTCAACGAGTTCTGGCAGAGAGACTTTCTATTGTCTCAACCTAACCAAACTTGAAAATTGATATAATAATAATTTTTTAATAAAGTGAAAATAAAAAGTAAATACCAACTTTTGATTCCCTGTGTGAGCTTTGCTGCTCTTCATACTGTCTCATCTGACTTCCTAAATCCTCCCTGCCTCACCTTTGGATAAGCACCTGAATGGAGAGTTTATTTTCACCCTGAACATTATTTATTCCCTATGAGACAAATACATTAAGAAAGTCATTGTTGCAACCACAGCTCATCCACAGAGAAATATACTTTTCAGTGAAGTTTACATTATTTTTTTGGTGATGTTTTATGTTATTTAGCCAATAACTAAAGCCTTTACCAATAACATTAACCTTTTTTTTCTCACCTTAACCTAAAGCTAAAAGTTATATTTTTACATGAGCTTTAAAATTAAACTTACATTTTTAAAATGAATTATGGTGGGTCAGTTCTTCCATCAGAATCACCCTGTTTCCTCCTCTGCTCAAAGAGGTCAGTCAGTTAAAGCACTTACTTGACAAGCAGGTGATCATAGGCTCCTCCCACTGGCCTCCGGACAGGCACTTGATCACAGGATTCAGCTTCTGAACGAAACCCTCCTCGCAGTAGTACCGCACCTTGGTGTTGGTCTCGTAACGCGAGCGTTTCTTCCCAAACACTTTGGCGTGGGGAACCTGGGGCGGCTCGCCGCAGGAGGCTGCTGGATGGAAGGAAACAGGTGAGACAACTTGTTCACTACTCAGATCACTTACCACATACAAGTTCAGCTACTCACAGACACCCTTCTTGCAGGTGTAGGACAGGTGGTAGTTGCACGGTACGTCGCTCCAGTGGCCGCCGTCGTGCCACACCATCACCGCACAGTCCTCACCGGACAGGAAGTAGCTGTCGGGCTGACCTCTGAACCAGTTCTCATAGAGCTGACACGGAGAGGAGGGAAGATAAAAAAAAAAAGGCTTTTTAAGTGATGATGATCTCACTTTAGTATCAGCTTGTGTCAGTTTAAACTTTTAACTTAGACAATCATCGGAAACCGTTCAAAAATTCTTCTTCTCCTCTGCGATCGACAGTTTGGCAGTTTATGAGTCACAGGTTTCGGACTCGTACGTCCCTTTACCACCGGGGCGCTGCAGGTGCCGGGGGCCCTCTGAGAACCAGCATTTTATTTATTTTTTTACTTTTTCTTTTCAGTGGACGTGTGTGAAACCGCCCACTTCTGGGCCTCAAAACTCACCAGAGGGTTCCCGTCCGACCAGCGGAAGTCTCCCTCAATGGTTCTGTCGTTCAGTCCAATCCACTGGTATTCTCTGTACTTGTCTGAAATAAATATCAGAGGGTGAGGAAATAAGACAGAGGTCCCAGTGTCGTATGGTAAATGAAATGATGTATGAGTGAGGACCAGGATTAAATAGACCCAGTATCAAGTCAAAACTAAGATCAAAAGCCAGAGTTAATACTGAATCCAAACTTTCCGAGGCCACATTATATAAAACACACTACATATTCTGTGGAACACATTTAATGACAACTCTTGGTTTATAATATACTCGTATTGGATTAAGTTGAGAGAGACTCCCGTTATACAACCCTGCTTTAGACCTTCTTATAAAGCTGAAGCCGGAGTCTGTCCTCTTGCTTACATAACAGTCTGAGTATCAGTCTATACGATCCATGGCAACAGCCCGCACGGTAACAAGCACCCGCCGCAGGAGGAATGCCAGATAATTATCTCATCTGCTTTTTTGCCAGACGAAATACCAACACCGACTTCAAAAACCATGACTTTTTCTGAAAAAAAAAATAAATAAAATAAAAGGTCGTTGTTGTGTCTTGTCAGGACGAACCTGAGAGGCCTCGCTGTGAAAACAAACTCATCACTTTTGAATTTCTCGAGGGTCTGAACCGGAGGAATGTCTGGGTGGGAGATCGCAGGTTTGATATCTGCTGTGAGGAAAAATGGTCGTCCCTGTTGAAGTGTCATTTAGCAAGGCACACTGCTTCAGTGTTGCTGCGTTTGAGGATGCGCCAACACCTGAGATTTGACGGTTGTCTGGTGAACAGCAGGTGGAAACACTCTGTCCTTTCACATCATTTTATATGGGTTTTTTTTATTACATCATAAAGGTTATTTTTAATGATTGTCCTTAAGGCATTTTGCAGTAATTTGACAGTGAGAAACCGTCACTGTCAGCATCCTACGTGATGTCCAGTCAAGTTAGCTCATTATTTATCTGCTGGGTTCGAGTGTCTGGCAATAAAAACTGAAAGATCAGCACCTGAATATCAATTTCTCACTGTCAGAGGAGGTTATGTAACTTTGCCAAAACTTAATTATTTGCCTTGATGGATTAATGTGTCAAGCATTTATTTTAATGCTCTACAAGCCGATTTTCAAAAGCAAACCGAAACTGGACAAACAAAGCAAGTCTGAAAAATCTCTTTGATAATTAAAACTGTATATGACTTTAAAACATGCAAATATTATAATTTTCTTCACATATTCATTTGAAATGCAATAAAAGCTCTGAAAGGCTAAGATGAACTCCAGATCTGCCACTCGGCCTCCGAGTAATTACATCTAACGCACAGAATCCGGTTACTTCTGCTTCCTGTTTGCTAAAGCGCGCGTGGGCGTTCTTCAGGGGCGTTCTTACCGTTGATGTAGTCCTGCTCCTCGGGGGTCATGACAGAGATGAGATGTCCGCCACACATCCGACAGTGCTGCTCAGCCGCCTCCCAACTCTGCCTCTTGGTGAAGTGCCGATAACAGAAGCCCTGAAACTTCTCCCAGCCCGGCTCACACACCTCCAGGTCTGAGACGGAGCGGAGAAAGTTATTAAGACGTTATAGAATGAATTAATTAGTAGGAGAGTCTGACTAGTATTTGGAAGACCGTATGTCGATACTGTAGGTTTATGAAAGAGTTGACACTGAACCTTTCTGGCACATGTCTCCGTCATATCCCGGCAAACAGAGGCACCTTGTAGATTCACCTTCGACACATGTGCCTCCATTTAAACACGGGTTCTCCAGGCACGAGTCTGCGCACATGTGAAGATGATGGAGCTGAATAACAGAGCTCAACGCAACATAAACACATTTTTAAAATACATGAATTATTCATTATCTCAGAAGATGTTAGAAGAAACCATGTGGTGATAGTTTCAATAACATAACATTATTATTTATTTCATTTAGTTTGTTTATCAGGAAGCATCAATGTCATACTACATTTATCTACAAGCTATTTTCCATCTGAGTGGAAATTATATTCTTATTATTAATTATTTTCCACATTGAGTTCTGAGTTTGAGTTTCATGACGGTAATCTTTTTGTCAGACTTGATTTCTGCAAATTCCACAAACAAATCAATCACTCAAAAATCAAAAACCATTTTTAACATCAAATTTCCATTAAAGAGGAGGCACCAGCAGAGGGCGCTGTTACATCAGGGATGAGACACACTGCTGAGTCACTGCTGCAGTTTCAATGAGACGTGTAAAATAAAGTTCTGGTGTTAAAAACAAATATTACTGTAATAATATGAAAGTTTATTATTATTATTACACAGTGAATGTGGAGGTTTAAAAAGCTTATAAATAAAAGACGAACTGGATTAATTTCATGTTTACACAATGAAGTTTATGTCAATTTTATGTTTTAAATGAATAAACATTGTGACTTAAAAGTGAAATATATTGGTGGTCTTATATGGTCTTATATTGTGCTTTCAAATTAAAATGTATAAAATATTGAAAGTACAGCTTGTTGTTCATTTTCCTGCTGTTTTTCACCACAGTATGATTTGAGCTGAGTCACAATAATAACTTACAACCAAAAGTCTTTTATTTTGTATTATTTGTGCCTTTTTTTTTTTTTTGAATCATCCTCACAAAGTGAAAATGCATGTGAAAAACTTGAAGAACAGAATCAGTCGTATATTTTTTAAATCGTGTAAAGTGGACACTAAAACCCTTCTTATGTAACACGGCGAGGAGCTTCCTGTTGTGAACTCGCTGTAAGTTCTTCTCTCCGAGTATTAATTCAAAATGTGAAGCTAATCTCTCTGTTGTGCTGAGTCAGCCCCGAGGTGCCAAATTGCAGCATGGAGTAAATCCCTCTCCTGATTGGGCATTTTCAAGAGACAGCCCTTTAACACCAGCTGCTGTTTCATCAAACGTGCAGCACTTTTTCTTTAATTTATGGGGTGCAGTTACCTGAGGAGCCTCCTTGTCTTGCAGAGGAAACTTTGGCAGCAGACACGGCAGTCTGCTCCTCCTCTTCCTCCCTCTTCTCCTCCTCGTCTCTTTTCATGTTCTCTGGGTGCATGGTGGGAGCAGTGATGGTCACATCATGAGTGTCTGCGGTGGGTGTTGGACTGGAGGTGTCCCCCTCATCCGGATGCCATGTGCATATTTTATCTGAGGGCTCGTCTGAGCTCGTCTCCCCCTCTCTTGTCCCCGATCCATGTTCTGTTGAGACGCAAGAAACGTAAAACACAGTGAAGTGACTCCTTTTGCATTAATGTCCTCAAATTAATCCAGATATGAAGAGCTCATCTAATTGCAGCACAGTTCCTTCTTCAGATTTTTTGCAGTTTGGAGACAGAAGCAGCAACAGTTAAGGCTGGTGTTGTTGCAGCTGTCACATCTACAGTCCAGCAGTATTCGTAGGGAGCCTTTACCTGAAGAGCGGCTCTGTGCTGCTGCTTGTTAGCAGTCCGTGTGGCTGCCATATAATCAGATTTTCTACTATAAAACCCCTCAGGCGGAAAAAAAATAGCTCCAAGTGGCAAAAGGTGCTGAACCCTGCCTCCAGTCTGAGCACGATGTCATTTTACCTCGGCCCTCTGCTGCTCCGGGTCACCGAAATCATTCAAAAAAAGTTTGTAGTGGCGCTCAGTTGGTCGACAGCAGCTGAGACGCAGCTTTAAAACGAGAAATAAATAAATATACGGAGGCCAGGAGGGTGAGGTCGTGTGATTAAAAAAAATTGATTAGCTCATTAATGTGGAGAAATACCTACAATAAACAACGCAAACTGATCGCTTCACTGAGCACACTGGGTATGCATCTGGCATTTAGAGTAAGAGCGGGAATAGTAATTCTCTCAGTGATGTAATGCAGAATTTACCTGCCGCACCAGCTAAATAAAAACACAGTCATGTCAAACTGTGACAACATTTTTAATATCTCATATACTGAAATACAAAATACATCATCTGGCCTCTATCAGCCTGGATACATATCAGTGTCTGATTCATATGCAGCTGAGTGGCTGATGTGTTTTGGGGAAATAAAGTGTTTGTGACATACTGAGCAGACGAGAGGTGGATCATACTGCAGCAGTGGTTTCGTTTCAGTCGTACAGGGTAAGTGTTTGATACCCAACGTAGGTCTTTGTCGGAGTAATCCTTAAAACTCACCGTTAACGCTGCTGGTGGTGATCTCCACCGCGACCTCTTCCTGTTTGGAGTCATCATCAGATTCCTCGGCGACAGGAGTCTCGGCGCTGTACTCTCGATCAGACCGGGACTCCTGCAGCGTGGAGGAGGACGGCTCTGGTTCCCAGCCGGGTGTGAGGGTCAGGTGAGGGATCAGTGTGATTTTTACATCTGAAGGAGGAGGCGCACCGGTGCCCGCCTCACCCTCAGTTGCCTCGGAGGTGCGGTCTGTTGAGACGGTCGGGTTTGTCAACAGGAGTTCTGGTTTCACCTCCGAGCTCTCTCCTGATGATTCACCCGATCCGTCGCTGTCGTCTTGTTCCCGCCCCTCAAGGTCACTGTCTGTGATGTTTTCTGTTGTGCTGAGAAATACCTCTGGGCTTTGTCCTAATCCCTCCTGTTCAGTTTTATCCTGGAAGTCTTCCAGGGGTTCGGCCCCGGATGAAGCATTGCTCTCAGGTATGAAGGTGATAATCTCTGGGGAGCTGGCTTCGACCTCCGCAGAGGGAGGAGACAAGGTTACAGGCACCGGGGAGGTCAACAAAGTGACAGGATCATTGTTTAGGACAGGAGCATCCACGCTGGAGCCTGAGTCGTCTGTGACCGTGATGATCTCTACTGTTGGGATTTCTGCAGGATGGATGTGTCCACTCTGCTCTGTCGGATCATCTGTTGCCGCCTCCTCGGATGTGCTGTTGTATTCCTCCTCACTATGGTCGACCGGGGTGGAGGACTCTATCATTACACCTGAGTGCTCTTGAGTAGGATCATGACCTGTCAAAATAAGGGCTCATCTGGAATTATATGATAAAATATCAATTCTTTTCTAAACAAATTCAACTGGAAAATGGAAAACAAAAAAGGAAATAAAAGGAAATAAAAAACGTCCCACCTACATAAGAATAACAATCAATAACAACAAAGAATAACAACTCAGTGACAATTGATGGCCAAATTCCTGTCAGCCTTAGCTTAAATTCAAGATTAACAGCAACATAGCAAGCTATCATGCTAAATACCAACATTGCCACATTGAGATTACATACAAACATTAGCATGTTACTGCGCTAACTGCCACAATGTGAACACTATTAGCCTAACATGCTAATATGCTTGATAAAACACACTTAATAGTTAGACCTAATATTTAAAATGTAGCCAACATGCTAACATGTACCTCTAAACTTGATGGCCAAATTCCTGTCAGCCTTAGCATTAGTTTGACATTAACAGCAACAAAGCATGCTAACATGCTAAATACTAGCATGGTGCCATATTGAGATTACATGTAAACATTAGCATGTTATTGTGTTCACTGCTCCAACATGAAAAGCATTAGCCTAACAGGCTAATATGCTAAATAAGGGTTAGCACTAATATGTTAACATTCAGTGCATTTTAACATACTGACTGCAGCTATATTCAAGAGGGAGTCATGTGAGGGTTAGTACCACAGTATAGCCAAAACGTTTGGGTTTTATTGTCCTAACGGCAGATTTTCATTGACAATAGGCATCTACAGTATATTTGTTTGCCTTGGGGGAATCCAAGAAGATCCTGTAAACAACCTGGATACTGACATGAACTGAATTTACTAGCTGGTAATTGGTAAAAGTAATTCCCATATAACATTATTGTAGGATAACAACAGTTGAGACTGATGACCCTAAGAGTCTGAGATTTAATTCTAATTTAAGCATCTGCATGGCACCAAACTCAGACCAAATTATTATTATTACTTATTTATTTTTTGGTAAAGTTGACCCTCACACAGTTACTAGCAATGTACATCTAAAATAGCCAGAATATTCTGTAACTAGGATACTGATGAGAGCCATCGTTAGGTCCCTGCGATGTCCTGACTTTAATATTCATTGTATATTTACCTGAATCAGTCGCAGGGACCACTTCAGAAATGGCAGAGGTGTCCATCCCAATCAAACTCTGAGTCACTAGGTCTTGTGTTTCCTCATCTGGAGGAGGATCTGCACTCTCCTCTCCAGACTCCTCTCCTGTTGGATGGTTCACGGGTGGTGTAGTGGCGTGAACATCTGTTTCCTCAGTGTGGGGTGAAGTAGTCACCGTTGATACCTCCTCAACAGGACCAGCGCTGGCCTCTTCTGGCTGCCCCGAAACATCATAAGATGTGCTCGAGTAGACCAGCTCAGTTTCAGAGGCGTGTTCCAAGTGGACCTCTGGAGTGTGGTCCTCTTGTGAAACAGGAAGTTCATCCTCCTGATGCACCTCTGAGGAACTGTTAAACAGCTCATTTGCATCAGTTCCAGATGTTGCATTAACACCCAGCATGTCCAGGGTTTCGGTCTCTTGATTAATCTCAGAGATATGAGTCTCTGACGGCTCTCCGCTCTCTGACATTGTCACATTAGCTGGGGATGAAGTGGAGTCTTCATCGGTCGTTGCTGCGTCATCAGCCTCTGGAGGAGGAGTTGAATGTACGTGAGACTCTTCATGGTCTGTGTCGGGAGTCTCTTCAGGTGCTGGTTGATAGGACTCTGGGTAGCTGGCCTTCTCTACAGGCTCCCAGGTATCTTTGGTGGAAAAGGGCTGTTGATGCTCCGAGGGAGGAGTGACAGACTGATGAAGGTCTACCGTGAGCAATGGCTCCTTGTCATAACACAGTGTTGGGGCCTGAGCCTCCACGGGGACCTGTCTGACGGGACTGACTGTCTGGGCATGTAGCACCTCTTCGCTTCCCTCTGCTGTTACCTCACTAACACTCACCTCCTCCTGAGCAGGATTAGTTAAGAAAACAATGTCCTGGCCAATGTCCTCTGGCTCAGTGGTGAGAAAATCCTGAGGAGATTCGGTGTAAGGGCCGTTATCGCCTGGAATAAAGAGCGGAGTTGAAAATGTTATTTAAAATATCCAAGAGTTTACTGGACCTGTTCCTAATATTACCAAACTTTGTTGAGGATTTTACAAGAAATCTTATTTGTATGCTAGGAAGAAGAAACAGCACCTCTGATCCAATCACAGTGCTTTTGGTTATTTTAGAGAAGGCAAACATAGTAGTAGAGATCCCAAAGTTTATGGTTCCCTGTGGGACGTCGTCACATGTCCATAGGTTCTTTGTCAATACAAATACACTCATTTCTAAGTTGCATTCATGTGATTTCGGAAACAAATAACTGCAGTCTTTCAGTTTCTACAGTGGGATTGGAACCGTGACTGATGGTATTTCACAAAGGCCTCGTGTGGTGAGGCAGTCCGCCAAGGTGCAGATTTGTGTCAGGTGAATATTTTCTAGGTGAGGTACAACTATCCACTATTTCACAAGAAAGAAAGATTAAGGAGAAGTTGAATTTTGTGTAACAGAACTATGTTTCTTCTTCTTTCCTAACCTGTTAATCATATCAATATCATAATCAACTGGAGGACAGCAGATATCAGATCGTTCTCTTACTTCTGAAGCAGTAGACGTCGTGGCGTGTGTCAGCCTCGGGGAAGCCTGTCTGGTTGCTGTAGCGATAGACGGTTCTGACCCCGGGTTCACCGCCTCCGCAGCGCTCTCTAGGGGTGACGATGGGGTAGCGCACGCTTCCGTCCGCCAGCCACCCGGGACTGCAGTGGTTCAGTCCGTCATTCCAGGCTGCGTACAGCTGAGCGGTGGTGGCCAGCTCCGCCCCGTGACTCAGACAGTAGGCCTTGGCCTCCCAGAAGGTGAAACGCTGGGGGGCGGAGCCATGGAACACCTCACCTTTACAGAGGGATACAGGAAGGTAGGTTTTTAATGGTCTTCAAAGATATAAATACATCTATACCTACCAGATGATCAAAGTTAAACATTAAAAATGTCAATAACATTACTACTACGAGTCTCTTCTTGTCATCACTATGTAACTGTGCACACATTCTTTCAGTGCAGTGCATGATTATGACATTTCATGTAGCTTTACCATGGTTTTCCAATAATGGCTCACATACACTACACAGCCAAAAGTCTGTAAACACTCCCACATTACAACCATGCTGCCGCTGCTGCCACAACAGCCTCAAGTCTCCTTGGTTGCAGTCTTTCCACAGTGACCTAGCAGCAGGGATTTGCTCCCATTCAGACACAAGAGCATTAGTGAGGTCCAATACATGTTGGGTGATAAGGCCTGGCGCAGTTTGCATCCAGTTCATTCCAAAGGTGGTGGGTTCAAGGTCAGGGCTCTGTGCAGACCAGTTAAGTTCTTCCAAACGAAACTGGGGGAAACATTTCTTTATGGAGATGGCTTTGTGCACAGGAGCATGGTCATATCACAAACTGTTGCCGTAAAGTTGTATCTAAAATATAATGTTATACTGTGGCGTTAAGATTTCCCTTGACTGGAACTATGAAAAACCAAAGGTACAAAAAAAAACACAGAGGTGTCCACATACTTTTGGCCTTGTGTAGGTGGGTTCACTTGGTTACAATCTGTCTGTCCAAGGTGACAAAGTTGTTATAACTGATAGCAATGACCAAAACTAGATGTCCTTTTTTTCCCAAAATGTCCTTTTGTCTCACCCTCTATATTCTCCACATAGCAGTAGACGTCATACAGCTCATCGGGCTCCAAGAGTCCGTAGTTCCTCACTCCCGGCAGTCCGTCCATGTCCCCAAAACAGCCCTCCCTCGGCATCTGAATGGGATATCTGCAGAAGGAAATAACACACGGCACTGAAACACCAAGTGCCTCTTCCTCTGTAATGGCAGCTCTCCAACCATCACACTTGTTGGAGCTCTTCTCTGAGGCAGTGTTGAGGAGTTGATATCAGATGAGTGGCTTTCGGGCTACTTGATGATCTACATGTTCTGACGTGCAGATGTAGAGAGCATATCAAATGTTCCACTATCAACCCCTCCAAACCGACCGACCGACCGACCGACCTCTGCACCAGCTGCTCCCTCGGGCACAGGGACAGTCACGTGTCAGTCCGGGAATTTAGTGCTGTTGTTTTTGTGGCGTGGCATTAACAATCGGAGCTGTTGCCCAAAAGCACATTGAACATCTGAGTCTCTCAAACCTCGACTCTACATCACCCGAAAATGCTGCATTTTTCTAGCTAAGAGCCCACTTGATCCAGCGCCGAGTGTAGATGTGTCCCGTTTAACATTGAGCCATTTCCCCTCAGGTCCTCACCTGACTGAGTGGTCCGAGAGCCAGCCGGCATCGCACTGCTCGTATCCGCTGTGGTAGGCGGCCAGGAGCTGCTCCGGAGTGGCAATTTTGGCGCCGATCTCCTCGCAGGCCTCTCTGGCCAGCTCGAAGGTAAAGGCGTAGCGGCTGGATGCGTCACGATAATGGAACACCACCCCTGTGAAACCAGGAACACAGAGAGTCCTGAGGCGTTTCATGTCATCGTTCAACCAAGGATCGGAGGCAGGTTTCAGTGGTGAAATCATCAGTATACCAAAATGTTAAAGGTCCATCCAGTCTAAAGGTTTCTGTCCATGTGTAGATTGATTATAGATCAGGTCTAGGTTCAATATTAATACTGTGAAAGTATCAAAGCCTCAGTCCACAGAGAAATGCACACAGCCTGTATTCAGAAACTGAGCCTTAAAACCAGCCGTCAGGACTTCTGGAACTTTGTGATGTCACAACAAAGCAGTCACCAAGCCCCGCCCACCTGGACCCACCGTCCAGACCTTGCAGGATTTGGTTTTTACCTGAAATCTGCTATATTTTTATTGGATCACTCAGGAAACAGTCAGCCAATCGCCTACAGGTCCATATAAGATTGTTTCTTTTACAGTTAATTAAAGTTTAGATTTTGATTTACGACAGAATATCCTGCGATTGGTCCATTTTGCTTTCTCACCAAAAACAAATCTCATTGGAGTCTCGGCTTTCTAGGCGGTCTGGGACTGCTTTGTTTTAGAGTTTGATTGACAGCTTTCACAACAACCTAAATATGAACCGCACCAAAGTGGCAGATGCAACTGAACCCAACCAAACAGATGAGGGTAATTAAACTTACCTCAGTTAGCTAAAAGCTAAATTTGCTGGTGACTCCTGATATTGCACATTAAATTACTCGTCACAGGAGGCATCATGATTATCTTAGAGCCCCGTTCAGGCCGGGTGCTTCCAACAGGAAAAGCTCGGGGAAGGGACAAGAAGCCAAGGCACTGGCGAATGACGTCATCCGGTCACTAGGGGGCGTCAGATCAGAAAACACCCTCATGGGTCATTTCGGAGGCAGTGACAACAGACATATTTTGTGGTTTAGTTTGGAGGACTTGTATCGACCATAAACCAAAGTGAGACGGGAACACAAACAGCACTTCACTTAATTTGTCTCTTGTCTTTGTCTTTGAAGTCTTTTTTTCTTGTAAGATGAAGAAAAAAACAAAAAAATAAGCGAAAATGTCCTCCTTGTGTCTCTGAGTCCAAGTGAGTTTTCAAGTGCATCTCCCAGAGTGAGCGTTATTCTGGACTCTATATCTAATGCAGTCACAGTGAAAGCACCATTCACTGCCTGATATAGTAGCTCACAAATGACTGTGGTCAGAGAATCTATACTCCATTACTCTGCTGGCACTGAGTGAGACAGCCATTCATTGCAGATGTTGAGTGTGTATTGTTATTGTACAGCTATATGAAATACAAAGCAGCCCCCTTTTTCCCTCCTCTCGAGAGGACGGTTTGTTTGACCTTGATACTTCTCACCGCGTCCACTGAATTATTCTGTCAGTGCCATCCGACTATTTTTATAAATTATTCTGATGTTATTTCTCACAGAGAGAAACGGCCGCAGTGAAAACTGCTGCAGATTATGAGTCGCTTTCAGCCTGTTCATCTGTGGAGTGTGCCGGGGTCAGATCTGTGGGCTGCGGCCCCGAACCGCAGACAATCACCCAGCAACACGAGACAGGCACACAGATAGGAAGGGTGTGTGTGTGTGTGTGTGTGTGTGTGTGTGTGTGTGTGTGTGTGTGTGTGTGTGTGTGTGTGTGTGAGAGTGATAGTTCTGCAGCTGTTACATTCAGGCTGTGGATCTGAGAATATAATTCAATAGCAAATACACTCAAATACAACTGCCCTGCAATAAAGACAGTTGTTTTTAAAGCTCATGCAGTTCATTTTGGCGTAGAAGAAGAAAGATGTTTATTCAAAAAGGATTTCTATCATTAGCTTCAGAAACATACGTGCAGAATCCACTGCATGGTCAGGTGCTCTTGTTATATATGGATGCATTTATGTAATGTATGTATCATGACTTTAAATAAATGTGAAATTCTGAAATGCTTTTATTTTGATTGTATAACTTCATATACTTTTTTAATATTTATATATTATTTATTCACTTTGCTGCATGTTGTTGTTTTGATCTGATAAAAAAGAAATATTGCCGTCTGGTTCTCACCTTTGACCTTGATCTGAGCCACGTCGTCAGCATCCTCCAGGCCCTGCTGCACCTCGCAGCGGTAGAAGCCGGTGTCGTTCTGCCTCAGGCCGTCCAGCCGCAGGGTGAGGTCGGCGGGGGAGTAGGCGTAGTTGAGCAGCGAGGCTCGGTCCTTGTAGGCCTCGCTGACTCTCACCCTGTCTCCGCGGGCCACCAGGATCTCCGTCTCGCGCCCTTGAGTCAGGACGCTCCACTTGACCCGTGGGAGGGACAGCACGGCGTGGCGGCCGTTGGTGGAGGGGGACGGCGGAGGGTGAGCCAGGGACACCAGGCAGGGTAACGTCAGAGAGCCACCCAGCACGGCATCCACAGGCGGGGTGGTGGGGATGGTCACGTGGAGAAGCTTCGAATCGTCTGGGGAGAGACGAGCTTCGAGGTGACAGGCGATCAAAATGTCAATACACACTATACATTTATTTAAAAATAAAACAGGACAAACTGACAAAGCTAACAGATAATACATAATGTTCTATTAGCATGGTAACATTTAGCAATTAGCAATTAACACAGCTGAGGCTAATGGAGTCGTTGTCACTCGATCTATGTGTGTAATTTCAGTCAGGTTACAGGGGGTCGTGTATGTTGTTGACGTTGTGTATCGACGATCACACTTTTCTTAATGTGAAAATGTGTAAAATATGTCTGTGAATTATCTGTGTGTGTCTCTTTTAATTGAAAATGAGAGGCCTTGAGATGTAGTTGAAAGCTTTAAACTAAAAGAAAAGCCAGGGGATCACTAAGTTCTCTAGGACTCACCTCTGTAACTACAGGCAAAACACAAAATAATAATGTTATATCAGCAGGAGGTTTGTGGGGTTGTTAGCTAAGCTGTGTCGCCATCAGGCGTCAGTCATTTCAATTGTTGCTCAGTTTCCTCTAAAATCATTTAGTTTGCATTTTCCCAAATCAATCGGTCATGCAGAGCCAATTATATTATAACGTTACAAACAATTTGTGGCTTCTGTCAATACTCTCAATACAATACAACTGAAGACTGGAGGACACAATACGATGAGTATCAGTTAACCCTGATGTTCTGCTGGGACACTCGAACACCCTTGAAAACGGCTGCATGTCAGCAGAAACAATCCATGACAGAAAATGATTAAAGAGCAACACCCCGCCCTCAGGAGTCAAAGGTCATGTATGATTTAATGGATTCCTGGATGTCAGCGATGGAAGTGACGGAGATGTGGAGGGAGGAAAGGACGCGTACCTGAGTCATGGTGGGGGGTAGAGGACGACGGCAGGACGAGGAGACAGATGGCACACAGCAGCACAGGTAGGAGCACCTCCAGTCTGTGGGTAAAACACAAGAGGGAGGGGGGAGGGGGGGGGGCAAATGTTCCTTCATCACCTTAGACACACTGCAGCTGCAACAAATACTCACAACAGCACCAAATGTGGATTAATCCGCTGCTGAAAATAGTCCCCGACAGACGCACCGCTTCCTCCTGTTTGAGTCTTCGCTCATCACTGAGCCATTTTTTAAAAAACTATATATTTGTAAAGTCTTAAAAGATTATCATCTTCAGTGTGAACCAGGGGGCATTAGTGATCACATGTGAAATGTAACATGTGAAAACATGTTTAAAACACATGTGAAATGTGTGGAACATATGTGCTCGTGTATGGGAAACATGTGGTTCTGGAACATTTTCGTGTGAAGCCCATGTAAATTCCCACGTGAAACCGACGGGAGAACATGTGAAACTCATGTACATGTGAAACCCATCCCTGATGGAAAAAAGCACATGTGATAAGTCACATATCATCCAGGAGCAAATTTGGTTTTCGGACGTTTCACATGTGAAACTAAAGTTCGCATTTGAGATGTTTTCACTTCACATGTGTCACTTTCATTTTCACATGCAGTTTGTATTCACATGTAAAGTTAAAAACATCTTGTACATGTGAATTTTAATATACACATGTAATGTGAGGGATGAGCTTGGAGCTCAGAGCCGCAGACAGAGGAGGGAAGCCATAAAGTGTTGATTAAAAAGTACTGATGGGGTTTATTGACAAGAAAAGTTTAGAATAACGTAACGTTAGATGACTCTCTGGTTTCGACTGACTGATCATCTGCTGTGGTCTTAAATATTGATCGTGAGCTGACGTACACAAAAGGGTTTTTTTTTTAAATGTTGGCACCCAACGAAATTGTTCTTTAAATTATTTTGTTTGTTGTTGTTGTTTATGTCAGTTCACCATTTTTGAAAAAGGTACATTTCTGTTGTCAGTTCTAAAACACTTAAATCACTGGACTTTGCCTGTCAAAAATACAATGTTGTTTGGCAGGCTGAAGCTTTTTTATTATTATTATTTGTTACTTGTGTATTTTTTTCTTTTGTCTGTTCTCTTTGTTAAAGCATTTATGGTTTTTCACTTGATAGACGACTGCAATGATTATCTCCCCAGAACAGCTGCCTGACACAAAGAACAGTATGAAAAACACCAGGTATCTCCAAATATATCCTTACTCTCTGAAAAACCACTGAATTCAGACGCTCACTAAACACACACAGATAAAAAAATAAAAAAAACATATTGACTTAATACTCTGAGCCATTCATCAAACTCAGAGCAGAGAGGTGGCAGCTTGCCACAGCTGGTGAGCAGATCTCAGCAGCATCTCTGCAGGAAAACAGATAATATGACGACTTCATCCATCACAGGTAATGTCAGTAAAAACACAGCAGATCATCCTGCACTCACACTGAGACAGAGACATGACTGGTCTTTATTTATTTACTTTATGGCTTCAGATAAATCTATTTAGGCTCTTTGTATAGAAAGAATTACCTTTTATCTTCTTGTATTAGAAATCTTAAAGTCATATTTCTGTCTCTGATCGGTGTCGGATTTTTGTTTTCTGTCTTGTACAAGTGGAAACCTCTGGGGCTGAAAAATGAAGGCAACACAGAATTGACCAAACCTGCAGTTCCTCTAATGGCCACTAGAGTCTGGCTCCAACAGTGAGTCAGTCCCCATAGACTCCCATGTTAAAATGTCCAACTTTACAGCAGAAATAAACATTTACAGCCTGGTACAAAAACTGTTTTGGTCTCTAGAGCTAATTTCCTCCTTCATGACACCTGTTTATACACCTGTCTTGTTAGCCTAAATTGTTAACTGGCTAATTAGTCAGCAATTAGCCTTAAGCTAGATTCCCAGCTGTGCTAACAATGCTAACAGGAGCGTATGCTTGCCACCGTTATTAAACCAGTATGTACCGGAGTCTCAGCTCCACACACGCTCCTCCTCTTTGCCCATTTTCGGATTAGCTGGGAGTTAGGAGGCGGAGTCAGACACTGCCAAGATGACGACGGTGGCGCGGCTCACTCTGAGCTTCAAAACCTTCTTCTTCAGAAACCTGTGGGTGACGTCACAGAGGCTACCTCCGTCTTTATCTACAGTCTGTGGTCTCGTATTGTTTGTCTGTAACTTCTTGTTATTAACAGCTGTGTCGTCCAGGACACTCTTGAAACAGGGAGGTGCAGATAGTGGTGATAGTAGTAGTTTTTTGCAAATCAATGCAACTATCTAATAATCAATAATCAAAATGTATGCAATAATAAGTCTAGTTTATTTGTAGGTTGTAGCTGAAGTTGCTGGGAGACATGAGAAACATTTTTTTTTGACAATGTTAGATTTTTTTGTTTTACTGGGCATTTGTCTGTGTCTAAGTGTGTGTGTGTCTAAGTGTGTGTGTGTGTGTGTGTGTGTGTGGCCGACAGACAGACTCGGACAGACAGAGGGACCGCCTGTGTGTCCTTGGAGCTTTCTAGCTGCTGTGAGTCAGACTTCAGGAGCTGCAGAGTGTGAGCTGAATTCTGATTCCCACAAAAAAAAAAACTCCCCAGAGGGTCGGAGCGAAGCCCGGCCTCCAACTTAACTAGATTTACCATTATTACCACTTGCTTTTATCCTGGAGTATATTCACTTTTCCTTTTGATATCCTGTTTTTCTTTCTTGTATTGTACTCCTATTTCCTTGCAATCCTCTGCGCTCTGCTCGGGGATAAATGAAGTTTTCTCTTTCTCTCACAAACATGCTGACCAATTACCTCAAACTGTTTTTAGAAAAGCTTTGATCCACCAGGAGAAAGCCTCTACGCCACCGGAGAGCTGCATGAGGCGACTGCAAACATTGACAGCTCCAAATGGCAGAAAAAGATAAAATAAAATTCTTACAACCTGGACAAAAGTTGAAGCCAGTGCACAAATAAATAAAAAAAAAAGCTACCACCAAGAAATATAAAGAGCTAATTTCACCTCTTCTACTGTGTGTCATTATGAGAGTTACTCTATGTTCATGCTGTGTTAAGGCTTAAAGAGAGAGTATTCTTTGGACGTGTTTGCTTGATTGACAGGTGTGTCAACCTATCACTGGTTAGCTGTTGATCTTTCAGCTCCACTCACGTTTCCTCCTCTTCTTTTCTTCCAACAATTAACTTTTTTTCTACCATAATGGAGAAGGAGGAACCAGTCTCTGCTAAACTTTGGGAAATTTCCACAGCTGGAGAAAACTTGTATCTGGGCCATTTAAACACATGATGTTTTAAAGCTGCTTTTTTTTTTTTTTTTAACATAAGCAAATGGCGAAACGATAACTCCTCGTATTCAAAATTATGTAATTTACAGTCAAACTAAAACGGAAACTGGTGGGATATATAATCTCTCCAGCACGTTCTGGATCTACCCAGGATGTCACCGGCGAGTGTCTGGCACAGCCTGAGAAATTAAATGGAGCCGCCTCCCTGGGGGTCTGAGTGCAATGGTAGTCGGGCGGCAGGCTGGGTCGGCAGCCTGGGCGTGGCTTTTGTAGAAAGACTATATAGAAGTTAGAATAAGTTGGTCATTTCAAAAGTTCTGACATGGTCACTGTGAGGAGAAGCAGGAAGCAGCAGCTTGTTTCACTAATACAGTTAAAAAGCTTCAGAAATAAGGTTGAGGACAAGGGAGAAATCCAGTTACTGAGCTGCTGTATGTTTACATGGATTTTACCGTAACCAGGTTACTGCAGATCAAATAAACGCGTCTGATGTCCTGCGTCACCTGATTTCTCAGAGTAACCTGGTTTCACTGACTGATTATCACATTTCACTGCCTGTTCCCTAAAATCTCTGTCTGGCTATTTTGACTTCTGCATGTCCCATGGAAGAAGCAGGGAGTGAATAAATAAACAGATTCATTTCCGTCAGTTCATCCAGGCACAAACAATCCTAAGAGAAAACAGGCGCTGACTCGTCACCGCCTCGTTACCAGCTTCACCTGCAGGCCAGAATCAACAAGCAAGCTCACCTGGAGCAAGTAAACCAGGCTGAATCAGTGAAAATGTCCAATCTTTTACACAAGCTCTGTTTTTTTCAAGCTGCCAGTGGAGAGCAGAGAGGAGGACGGACCGTCTGTCTCAGCTGAGTGGAAAATGAAAGACACCGCGGTCACGTCAGCGAGCGCTTCCCTCTGAGTGAAAGGAGTATTAAAGTTGCAGTGACGAAGGAAATTAAAGTTTGTTCTGCGGGTCTCAGCAGAGACACATTTCTAATCAAAACAGGATTAATAAATAATCACTCAGAGGTTTTTTTCTAATGCTTAAATTTGGCTCTGTCACTCCCAAATCAAAGCTTTGAAGAGAGAAATGCCACATGGGATAAAGCTGGCCGCTCAAACCATTTCACTGAGCAGAGCCGCAGACTGGTAGACACCCATATCCATAAGCCTTTAATAGGAAAAAGTTATGAAATAACAATGGAAAATGCAATGTATCTTTGTAACTAATCATGCTAAATTAGCTAGCTAAATTATTCTATAAAAAAGAAAAAAACTATGTGTTAAAAAATAACAAAACGTTGCCTTCAAATGCAAATAACTAAAAGTCCTGTTCTTTTCCTCACAGACCACGTCAGGTGACGGACAGTTGAAGGACTTCAAGGTTTGAGTGGACGTGAATCTCTCCTGGTTTAATCATCAGGACAAAAGGTGAAAAACTGCGAGAGAAAATACCTGCTTCTTTCATAAGAAAAGTCAAAGGACAAAGCCTGAGGACATGAAGACTGAAGCTCCCGAGGATCGGTGTGCTCAGAATCAGAGCTTGTGTGCTCAGATAACAGTGAGTGTAAGATAAAGATTAACAGGAGCCTGATAAAACATTCAGGGTATCCTGGTATTTAGAGTCAAACTGACAGAAAATACACGGTTTAGCAGACGCCAAAGCGGAAATAACATCACGATGAAACTGGTTTAATAGAATAATCTAGTTCATGTATAAGCTGACTGCTGCACAAACAACCTTAC